ACCATGCCCCCCCCCCCCCGTCATTTGCTTTTTCGGCTGGTGTGCACTTGCCCCGCGGATGACGTTGACTCGGCGGTTCTCCCCAGATTGTGCGTGGACGGATCGATCGATGTTTATCCGGGTTGGTACCAATTGAGGACCAGGACACGTCCCATGCACGTCCTCGCTCGCCAGTGACGCCGTCTGCCGGTCCGCCGCCGTTGATCTCGCATATGAGGCATAGGTACGAGACGCTCGGAGGCGACGCGACGGAGAGCCATCGAGCGGAGAGGTGGCGGGGAGACGCATTCTGCAAGAATACTACTAGGTGGCCAGAGTGTCGCGAGTGAAGCGATGTGTGCAGTACCAGCTGCAGGCAAGTCAGAGTAGGAGCACCGCTGGTCCAGACGCATAGAGCTGGCAGCATGCAAGACAGAGGTGGGTATGAGGCCTTGAGGAGTCAAGGATCCACACAAACGTCTCGAGTTCAGAGAGGACTGCAATTGCGCTGGCAATGGATCAGCGACATTGATGATCTACGAGAGAGCTGGCGGACAAGAAAGTATGGAGCTGGCCGAACAGGATGCCGAACGGCCCTAGGCAGATGTCCTCGTGGCTGGGTCCTCTGCGAGCGAAGAGCCATGCGCTTGCACCATTCAGAGTGGAGGAGGAGATGGAAGGAGAAGGGAAAATGAAGGGTAGGAACCTCAGACGACGAAGAAAGAAGCTCAGAGAGGGGTTAAGACGAGATGAACGTTGCACTGCAGTTCAATAACATGGACGAGAGATAGAAAGCTACCGTAAGGCATAGTGTGTAATAACACAGCGGAGAGGGCTGTACGAGGTTGGTCCGGTGCGGCTACAGGTATATATACATGAAACTGTTCGGTGGGTTCGACATTTTGACATTTCGAGGCCTGTGGATGCGATACATGCGATTAGATACTACATGGCAGGAAGCTTGAGCCGGCATAGCGGGGAAGATACGCGAAAAAGCGATAGCGCGAGGAACGTGCCGAATAATGAGCCAGGAGGTATGGGACATGTGGCGGAAGATCTGACAGGTACGCTGGCAGAGGTTACAGGGTCAGTCCCAACCTCGAGGCTCGGGTTCCCAGACATCGAGGGTCACAGGAGACCTAGGATAAGTGCAAGAGTCATTGGATGAGAAATCGAAATGTAGGTGTAATTGACGACGAGCATGGCGACTTACAAAAGGCGACCACTGGCATGAAGTGCTGGGAACCTTGATGAGAGTAGTGTGCGCCAGGAGCCTTCGGATACAGCGTCCTTCACGTCATGGCCATATTGGACATCAACGTGAAGGAGAAAAGTGACTTTGCGGAGGGCGGGGAACTGCTTGCCGGAAAGGATGCGGTCCAGAAGTGCGAAGTAACCATTATCGAGTAAATCGTGTGAATTTTGGACGTCGACGAATGTGTAATCAATGGGTAGCAACGATCTCATGGTGATCTCGACTAGCTTCGGTAAAGACGTGAGGAACAAGAGGCTTGCTACACTCGTAAAGTCGTCCAGGTCACAATAGAACGACAGGACACGCAAGTTGGCAGCAGGCGTGAGATCTATCCAGACATCTGAGGAAACATCGTCAGTCGACACTGACCAAGATCGCCCAGCCACCTCCCCCACGTACCATAACTAAAATACGAAACACTCAGAGACAAGAGCGACTCGGCGGAAACAGCAAACAGCTCCGACAGCTTCGTCGGCTCGGGCCCCTTGTAGGTGAAATGGCAAAGATGTGCGCCGATCAGCACGAGAAAGTCCATCACATCATCACTGTGATCCAGATCGGCGGTGTCGAGTCGGAGAGAGCCTGGCACGCGCACCGCACCCGCAACATGGCAGCCTTTCTTGAACTTCACAGAACTACACTTGAGGGAAGAGAGGTGGGGCAGCACACGCACAAGCCGCCCAAACACAACCGCAGATGGGAAGATCACATCAAAGAGTTCGAGCTTGGTCACCGACCCAAATGCGAGAGTGACGTGGAGGAAAACCTGCGTGGGCAGCTGCCCAGTCTCCCATGTGCACCTTTCGAGTGTGAGCTGCTCGACTTGAGGCAGCTTTTGCATCATCCGCACAGCAAATGACCCAAAGGGGCCAATTGGCTTCCCACCAAAATCGAACAAGACCGCTTTGATGGCGTGGCATCGCTCGGGGTGCTCGCTCAGCGCACTGATCAGGCGATACACTTGCTTCTTGTCCACGAGCCGCTTTCTGATTCTCTTGTCATAATGAAGGCGACATCGGACATACCACCCATGACACACTCGGCCAAGCCATCGCATGGAGCGGTCGTGGTGGTCGTCCTCTTCGTCGTCTGCGCTGAGATCAATTATGTGCTCCCATAATTCTGTTGGAAGCCGGCTCGAAACCACAGGGCACATATCAAGTAGTTGGTTAGATGTCCGCTCCGTGATGGATGCATCCCAGCATGATAATTGCATGTTCCGTTCTGTATTGCATTCAACCAACATGCATACAGCTGAGTGGGGCTACTCACCAGCTGGACCTGTAAATGTTGAAATATAACAGTGGCAATATAAACCTTACCTGTGTTTTGACTAGAATACAAGGCAAGTAAGAGGCTAAGAGTTGTCTTATAAATCTGTGAAGACTCTAAGACAAGGATGAGAGAGAGAAAAGCACTGTCATTAAGTGTTCTACCTAGGGGTTTATATACACAGGGAGGACACTACATGTACAAACAATTAGATAATAATCTAAAGTGGTGCCATACGCTAATTATGAGTCAGCTGCCTAATTGGTTAGGAAGCTGTCATCGAACATCAAGGAATGTGTCATATCTGCTAACATTGTAGAACAATAGACGCAGCTAGATCCAGCCAGACTCTTCTGGACTCTGTCCGGAATCTACTAGACTCTGTCTAGACTCTATAACTATATCTGGTTGATCAGATAAACTGTTGAACA